GAAAAAAAAAAAAAAAAGAAAAAAAATAAAAGGCACTTAAATGCGTCACCCCAAAAGCCCAGGACTGAGAAGGCAAATGAAGGGGGTACATCATGGTATAGATGTTCAACTCTGCCACCTCCTACCTCTCTGGAGTGGGAACATATCACTAGCATCCACCAACTAGAACTGTTTATGCCACTCCATAAATAGAACTTCTTTTCAGAGGGAAACAAAGGGCTAAACTGAGGGAGAAGGGGGAGCACCCCCACATTTCCTTAAATGCCCAAGTGCAGGTCCTGTCTGCATGCCATACAGCCTGCACAGAATCTACAGCCTGAACAGTGATCTAGCTCCACTACAAGGGCTTTGTTTTGCATCTACTCTGTCTTGATGTTAACGATAGGGAAAGTATTCACAATGGCATACTTAGAAAGCATAATGGCATGCTTACTGAAGTAAACAGAACAAAATGTCTTAGGTCTAGATTTGTTCACAGTCCAGAAGTGTATAGAAAGCCCACAAAAACTAGGTGGAAAAAAGAAGAAAACCATGACCTGTTATTTTAACAAGTGAAAAATAATAATTTAAGATTTGCAGACTTCTATTTACTCTGTAGAATGAATATGCATTATGATCTCAGTTTCAAATACAGTCAAGACCCCACTTTGATTCTGAACAGTTGCAGAAAAAAAATAGTTTCAAATATTTCCACTGTTAGTATTCCCCTTTTAAAGCATCTATAAGTTAGGGGAAATTAATTAAAAGGAAATACATTAAATTGGTATAGTAACATTTTAACATGTTTTGTCAAAAGTATTACATTAGCAGGTTTAACGAACCAGCACATTTATCTGTTATTTTCTGACAAAATCCCGTTATAAAATTCTTAATACATATGTATAAAGAGGGAACAAAAAAACAAATTATTGAATTCTCACAAGGGATCTATACATAACATTCACACAGAAAAAAAGAGCTCTTTGAAAAAGTTCTTAATGGTTAAGAATAAAATCATAGATGTAATAAAAAGAAGGAAGATCAAGAAAAGAACAAAGCCTTCCATAGGACAAATTGTAATTACATAACTGATTCAAATTAAATCTGTGGAATGGATTTACAGAAAAAAATTCAATAACTATCAAGAGACAACACTGGGCAAGAATAGTTTATTTATCCTAACAATTTTCAATCATAAATGTTAACTACATATCTTGTGTAAAAATACACAGTAATAAATATCTTACATAGATATGTGTTTTACTGGATCTTCCTAGTGAAGATGCATAGCAGAAACTCTTAGAATACACTCTTCTCACATTCCTCTGCAGAGATATTTGAAATGAAGCATGTGACAGTTCTGAAGTCCTCAGACCTTTTCTACATTTTTTTTTATATGTCTCCTATGGTTATAGGAAATAATCATAGTTGTTTAGAAAGGTCTGGACTAGATAGTCATTGCTATTAACAGTGGGAAAGAATGTGAGTGTGTGTGCCTGTGAGGATCATTATTAAATAATTTACAGAAAATTTATTTTATTAAATAAACACAACATTTTTTTTATCAGTCTTTGTTTGCAAATCAAAATCATAATTAGCAGCACAGATTATCAAGATTGTTAATTTGTGCTCCCTCTACTGGTTAATTCATCCTACAGCCATAAAAATAATAATAATCCCCAGATTGTTGTGCTGCAACTCAACAGCCAAAAAAATCTGAAACCAAATTATATCATTAAAGAATACCCTTACACATCAGTTCTAAATGTTGCCTTAGCTCATTAAAATGACAGAATAGAAGCAAGTTCAAAAAGATGTTTCTTATCATACCAGCTTATTTTGTGTGTCTAGTTCATAGAAATTCCATTTCCCTCAGATTTAGCAATGCAATTAAACATTTCAAATTGTGAATCATTGTAAGAAGCTGCTGTTAATTAAATTTTTATTGAAAGCTCCTTTTTTCTTCTCCTCATGCAAAACACCATTAGCAACCAAACTGCAAAGCAGCCTAGATCACAGGACAACTTGGGCTGGAAGGTAGGATTTGGCAGCCCACCTAATCCACCTCTCTGCTCACAGCAGGGCTAACTCCATGCTTCCATCAGGATGCTCAGGGACTTGCCCCTTTGACTTCCGAGTATCAAGGCTGGCAACTCTGCAACCTGTCCAGGTAACAAAGCCATACTTAATCACCCCCATTGTGAAAAACTTGATGGCATATGCAAAATATTTGTTAGATCCAAATCAAGCATAATTCAAAGTCTGAGACAAAGCAAAAGGCAAATTTGTAACAAAACCCAGGAAAACACAGTTTGACAAAAATCATGTGATCTGATCACAATTACTGCTAGGCACAAGCAGTGTATTTTAAAGAATCATAGAATGGTTTGGACTGGAAGGGACCTTAATGATCATTTAGTTCCAACCCCCTGCCATGGGCTGGGACCCATTCCAGTAGCCCAGGTTGCTCAGAGTCCAGTCCAACCTGGCCTTGAACACTGCCAGGGAGGGGGCAGGCACAGCTTCTCTGGGCAACCTATTCCTGTGCCTCACAGTAAGGAATTTCTTCCTTATATCTAATCTAAATGTACTTTCTTCCAGTTCAAAACCATTACCCCTCATCCTATCACCACAATCCCTGATAAAGAGTCCCTCCCTATCTTCCCTGTAGCCCCCTTTACGTACTGGAAGGCTGCTGTAAGGTCTCCCCAGATCCTTCTCTTCCCCAGGCTGAACAACCCCAACACTCTCGGTCTGTCCTGGTAAGGAAAGTGCTCCAGCCCCCTGATCATCTTTGTGGCCTCCTCTGGACCTGCTCCAACAGGTCCACGTCCTTCTTATGTTGGGGGCCCCACAGCTGGACACAGCACTGCAGGTGAGGTCTCAGGAGAGTGGAGTAGATGGGGAGAATCATCATCACGCTTCTCTTGACGCAACCCAGGATGTGATTTCCTGAGCAATGCAAATGTCACTAGCAGATTGAATCCTTTCAAAGAACCAAAGACCACCTTACTTTTGAATTTTAATGGTATAATACCTGTGGGACTCTGCATTTCATCTGAAGCTGGCAAAATATGGTCTATAAATATTTACATAGCATATAGCAGATTCTCTGACTTTTTATTTTATGAAGCACAAATAACATTCATATATCCACAAGTTTTCTAATTACCTCTCCTGGAGAGATAATTTAAATAATTTAAATGTCATCTTATGACAATTGTTTAAATGATCTTTAACTGGAGTGAGTGGTAGTAAACATATTAATGTATTAGTACAATTACATATAGTTAGCAAAAGTGGAAATAATGGCCAATTTAATTTACCTTGCTCAGTATGTTTTTTTATTAATAGGGTTTAGTTTTGTAGATGAGCAAGACAAACTTCTATTGTTACATACAGATTAGAAATGTAAACACTTAACACTTCCCACACCGACTGACTTCACATCTCAAAAAAAGCATTCAAAGGGCCAGTGTGACAAAGAGCACTACTGCCCCCTAATGCACTAGTCCACAAAAACGCCTCTGTAACGACAACACTAAACACATACACTATGCCAAATTTCTGCGGAAAAGGCACATACACTAAGCTTGAGGAGAAAAAAAAAAAAAGTATCTGGTATCTAGGATTTTCAGGTAACTTAGTACACAAAGAGATCGTGAAGATGAAAATTATGTTCCAACATTTCTGTCAGTATATAAGCAGATATTAACAGATCTTAAACCTATTCCATACTAGAATGTAATCATTCAGAAAAAAAACCCCTGTAGTTATCTTCACACCAACACAGATTTTTAAGTTTTAGTGTCTGTAGTGTGAGAGCACCAATATGTTTTTCTTGTTCCACTGTTCTATCTAAATGCCAGTTACAAGTCTATTCTAGGCTTGTAATTATTGCAAAATATAATTCTCATCGTGATATCTAATTATATGCACAAAATGAAACAGAGAGGAAAATAAAAAAAATCCACTTGCTGAATTCTGTTTTTGTAAAGGAACCAGATGAACTTTCTGTGTCATGCGATAGTGATATTTTTTCCTGATTTTTTAAAAAATTGTTTTGCTCTGGAATTGAATCTGTATGCAGTGCTGCCCAATGCAGCTTGGACATAAAATACTGTCTTGTTCTTGTATTTGCCTTTAAAAAATACAGATTGCAGTGAACTGCTGAAAAAAAAGTACAACTGCTGCAAGACCTGGTGAGAAGCGCAAACATAGGCTGTGTATTCTTTTTTTTTATTCTACCATAAATCAGAAATTCCATTCACGTTAGTAAAATTACTGATTTAAACGCAATGCCATAGCAGAACTGACTTCTGATTTTTCCCCCTCAAATCTTTCATACTGACTTTTTCATAGATAAATATTCTTACAGAAGTAAAGACTCCAATTTCTGTTAGCAAGACAAAATTAAATGTAATTTATGTGATTAATTTAAAACATGCTAGCTAACAGAAGATACAGATTTTATGAATAAAAAATTATGTTCATTACTGGGTGTTGGCACTAAAATCCTTGAACTTAAGACTTTACCTTAAAACCTCCAAATATTGGCTTTCTGGGACCTTGCATACTATGTCATCATTCATATAAATATATCATTAGCACAGAAAGGTTGTAAGTGATGAGTAATATCTTACATAACTACACACATGGTAGAAGGTTGCAAGCTACTAAGCATTAAAAGTATAAGTACCACCAATCACATGTGATGTGATAGAAATAAATTATTTACAAAGATATTTTAGAGATCTAAAACAACCGTATTCCATGATATTTCTCTATTCCGTTACAGTCCAAAGAGCTGATAACACTTCTCCGCTCTCAGTCTACCCAATATGTATGCTATTAAGTCAGTACTTCACAGTTAATTCCAAGTGCTTACTATAATTTTATGAAATAAATTAAAACACTGGCGAGACTAACAACAATCAAGAGTTCAAATTTATGCCTCAGAACTTTGAGCATAAGGCCATCATCACAACTCATTCCAACTCTGCCAGGCATGTATTTCTTACCTTTGAATCTTCACTGCACACTCCCAACTCTAGCACAGCCCGAGGAGACTTCAGCTTTGCTTGCATGGACTCTGCCATTTGAAGATTAAGCTGCCATCCAATTGTTTCAAGCTATAACACACAAATTTAGATACAATCAGATGGTACAGAAGCACTCAGGTCACATTCAATATTGTGACTGATCTGTGCTAGTGAACACAATGTCAGACTCTACAAATGTTAAGCACTTTTATACAATGAACATTCTGCAAATTCTTCTGGACTCCAAGACAGATTTAATTCTCTCTGTTGCCAAATTTATCATTCAAACTGCCTGTGACCACCCAAAATAAAGCAACTTCATATGCCTCAGATCTGCTGGAGCCAATCCATAAAACACAACTAAGGACCCACAATAAGGTAGCTTTCCCCTTCTTGTGGAAGTTTATCAGCAAAGTTGCAGACTCAAGTTTATTTTGTATTTATTTTTCTTTTAGGAAAAACAAAAAAAGTTACCAATAAATGGTAAACCAGATAAAGATGCTAATTTCTTAATCAACAGATTTGCTCATGTGTGTTCTACCATACACAGATGTTAATGATAAAAATAATGCTGTGCTGCTTTTTAAATTGTTACTACTGAGAAGCCAAACCAGTTAAGCATATAACAGAATTTTTAATAGAAAGCTACACAGATACATTTCAAATTACTTTTTAATCATTAATCTAATATGATATTCAAGCATTATCAAGCTACACCTCATACAGAAATAAAGTACACAAGAACAGAACTAGAAGTATTTCATGAAATAACCTACCTGGCCTTCTCAAATAATGAAAAGTAGAAACATAAAGTCTTAACATGTGGCAAATTAATTTGCATACAAGTTTCTTTCAATCTAGTGTCTCCTCTCTGCTAATAAATATTGTGGCTGACTTGGTAAGTGTGCCACATATCAGTTAATCTCCTACCAGTACAATAACTCAGCGAAAATCATCAACTGCACAAAGCCATCCCAGAGACACACTCTACTGTGAACAGCAGAGAAGCCAATAAATGCTCTGGCTCTTACAGTGACAGTAATCTCTAGATGAAAGATAGGAGAGAAAGTGAGCAGCAGAAACATCTTCCATTAGCACAGCTCAAAGACAGAACTTCCAGACTTTATTGCAGCTATACCATTTACACTTGCATTTCTTCGTATACTGAACTGATATACATCAATCATCTAACAAACACTGTAAGCCATACAACTAAGCATACCAAAAGGAAAATTATGTATCATGACCACCACTGCCAGTCCAAGATGGTTCAGGAGTTTAGCAAAGGCCAAAGTTCATGGAAAGCCACAGACAATCTCAAACTGACTGTGTACAGCTACAGGAACAAGACACTAGGAAGAACTTCAGCATGTCAGCCTGCAGCCTGTAAACTGCTCTGCAATAAATGACCCTATTCAGTCTTCATTCTGTGGTTAAAATAAGGGTATTAACCAAATCAATGAAAGCATGCATACAAAAAAATGGTCACAGTTAAAATGTTGTAAATCTGGTCTAGCTCATTTTGTGGTAGCCATAGCTTTAGTAACAGTATGCCCAAAGCCAAGTTTTATAAACTCTAAAAGCAGATTATTTTTTTAATCATAGTTCTCTGTTTGATTTCCTCTAACCAGATTACATCTCGGTTGATGAAAATAATAAGGCATTGCCCATCTCACACAAAAGTACAGCACAGTCTGATGTGGATTCTGTGGATGTGCTCAAGTCAGTAACTCTAATGGACAAGTCAGGTAAGTCCTGCGCTAGCCAGTATCTGGAATCTTCCAGCAAATTATCCCACAATGACACAGCTGAAAAACATTTTTCTCTCCACAGACGTCAACAAAATTAAGTAAAGGAATTACCTCCAGTTCTCTCCAGAGCATAAACACCTTATCATCTTGCCTTACTCTGAGTTTCAGATCAAGAAAGAAGTCCAGTTCACCTAAAGAACCCCATCAAAATTCATCATGGTCAACAGAGAAGGACCCAATTGCTGACTTCTGGTCTAGTGGTGGGAGCAGCCTGAAGCAGGCATCAGGAAACAGTACCACCTATTTTGATAAAACACCTAACCATTAAGGTCAAACACAGAGACAGTGAGCAAGCTCTGGAATGTGATGGCTCCTCATACTGCAGTCACTAAGGTTCAAGCTCCACACTCCTCAATTTAGAAAGGACTTTCTAACAGTTACTTAAACAGTTTATTATAGGAGTATGGAAACCAAGCCTTAGACAAGCTAGCAGCTCGTCCAGGATTATAAAACAATGCCACTAGAGACAGTATCTCAGAAGCCTGAATTTTAAGGCTTTTCTAAAGCTGTTAAAGAGCGTACTGTATGTACCATGAAAAACACACCCTCAAAAGTAAAGACATTGAAATTTATGTCTTCTGTTTCACTTTTAAGACACATGTATCCAGGAATATTGTAGACGGCTCAGAACAAATACAATACATGTGGTAGCACAGTGGCACGAGTTTATAGCTGAACAGCAGCCATAACTCTTTTTCTATATTGCTTTACCTTAAAATTACTTTGTTTTCCTGTACAACTCATGTATCTTTCTGTTTTAAATATAGTTGTGCGAGAACAAGTTTTGATTAACAAGTAACATGCTGCCTAAGGCTTCAAAATGGTCTATTTATTTTCTTGAAAGCAAAATACAACATGTACTTGGCTATGGTCATGTTTACTTAGAAGACATTCAACATCCTGAAATATCAATTAACCTTTTGAGAGTGGTGACATGTTTCTGCATGGCATTTTTGTCAAGGCACAATATTTGGTAGCCACAAAGTACTACGTATTTTAGAGCCAATTTTTTCAAAAGTGAAAGGGCTACAAAATTATTTTCACTTTTGATATAAAACTTGTTATAGGAAACAAAACATTGGGAGAGACTATATGGGGCCAGAATCTGTGATATATTACCTGAAAAGCACTTACAAGGGAAGAAATATTTCTCCATAAACAGCATGAAAATAAAAGCCATATTTTTAAATAGTTACTGTAGACCTTTAGCTTCTTTTTACAATTTCTTACTAGCAGTTTAAAAATGTGAAAGTTACCTAGTCACTGCAACATTAAAGACCACTGAAAATGTACTATTTAGCACTGTAAGTTCTTGGAGGTATTTTGGGCATTTACTTAACCTCAGTGTTATATTTAGACAACAAAAACCAGGTGCAAGCTGGAAAACATAGGAAAGGAAAAAACATAGGTGCTAAATAAAACAAATATGAAAAGGCTTCAGATCTGCTCCATGAACCCCATGATGGCAAATGATTCAGGGCTACAAAGATATGAGGAAGCTTTCAATGATCCCTGTAATCCTCAGTTGCCATATCCATTGTGTTCCACCCAGACTTCTGAAGAGGATACCATGACAGCCAGGACTAACAGGCATGGAACAACCTATGTACTTCTCCCTTCCAGAACTCATTCAGTACTAGCTGTAGAAAAGACGAGGTGTTATACCTGCTAAACCAGCTCTGTACCCCCTACAAACACAGTGCTTTTCAGTTGCCACCCACAGCTGTCCCAGGGGCAGATCCACACTAGAGAGCTGCTGTTTCCCTAATATGAGAGGATCTGACCCGTAGTAGTGATCTGTAGATCACTAGCACTTTACAGGTCCATAAATATATAATCTCTGGTCTGTTTATGATGGAGTCTATGATATCCACAGTCATTTTCCTCCAGTGTAAAACATGGGAGTTTCCAACTCATGCCCACTGTCCTGTCTACCAGACTACTTTCCATCCTGAATAGTAGAACGTATTATTTACATACTAGGACAAGATCACCAGCAATCTAACATAACTATGGTAAAACATTTGAATGAAAGTCACACTCTGCAGAAAACCCATATGCACTAAATGTCAAGTCAGATTTCACAACTTATCTGATATAAACTTTTAAGCATGATCTCCAACCAAATAAAGGATTTCACATGGCTGAAATTAACAGAATCCACCACTTCCCTTATCATTTAAAGCCCATTATGTTCTTATATATTACTATCTCTCTGTTGCATATTTTCACCACAGTTCCTTACTTTCACTTTTGACTGCCCATAAACATTACTAGAGATCAAACCAAAACTGAGAGTCAAGAAACCAGATAAACATGACAGTTTCTGGATTAGTTGTCAAATAATCAAAATCCTTCCCCTTTCCCAACCATGCAAAGATAATTTATCTTAGACTCTTTAATAAGAACTCAAACTTTAGTTTTTAGCAAACAAATTCAGGCTAAAAATGTCAAGGAAAAAACAATCATCTTAGCTATACAAGAATCAGTCTATGAAGACTCAAAACCAAATGACTACGACTTTGAGAGTGAAGGCAGACGGAATGTCCAGAACAGGCATGTTGTAGGGCTCCAAACTGAAGGACCAAAACCAGAGCCAAAGTGACTGAGAAACTCACATGGGAAAAAATGTTGGCAAGGACCTTAATTTGATAAAAGTAAGTAAATGGGAATATTGTGAAAAAAAGGAAAAACTAGAAGTGGAAACAGAATTTCAGAAAAACACCTAAGCACCTAAAATGTCTTCCCTAATACTTCCAACTTCAGCCATTCAAAAAATCTGCAGCAGGGTCCAGTACTATTAAGGGAGAGGGGAAAAGGGGTTTAAATGCTCAGTCAGTACAGGAGCAGAGAAAGGGGCTATTTTTTCATTTTGGACTTGAGTGATATACTGAGATCCCATCTCCTGTCTGACTCTGCACCCTTAAAGACTGAAGCTTGTTTTAATTTTAAATGGAAAACTGGAATTTTCATATAAATTACCTGCTTCCAGAAGGTGAAGGTTTCAGAAAGTCACCTAATATCAAAACAAATCATTGCAGGAACTATAGAAGATCAGTATTAGTGCTCCCAGAACTCACCAGTGTGGCATAAACAGCTTGCTTCTTACCACAGTGCAAGCAGGATGCCATCAATACCATGCAAACCACTAGTTCTCCTCCATGGGTAATCCATGATATGGCACCTGTTTGTCCCTTAGAAAGTGCAGTAACCATTGACCTCAGAGAAGGTAGGAGTAACAATGAGTAAGCAAAGCACTGAATCTGAAAGAATTACAGT